CGTCCCCCGTCCCCGCTTCCCCCAGTGCATCTGATAGGAACGGGGACGCAAAGCCGCGGCGCCAACTCCCGCAGCCCGGCCGGGCAACCCGGACCTGGGTCGGTTGGGGTCCGAGTGGCCCCCAGCGCAGCATGGCCTCCCAGGGGACATGCACGGGGACCGACCGGAGAAGGACCGAGGAGTGCATGGGGAACCGCGGTCGGCAGGGTACCGAGAGGCCGTGCCGGAAGCCCGGAGTGCAGAGGAGGAAGCGAGCGGGAGAATCCGAAAAAGGACGCGAGGCTGGGGAGGGAGCGAGGAGCGGGCCGCGGAGCGGGGCGGACGGGCCTGGGAACGACCGAGGTCGGGCTGTCGGCAGCCTCCGACCGCTGCCCTTGCAGCAGGCTGGCGAGATCCGGGGCCGCAGTTCCGCACGGACCCTGGCCCGGCGCAACCCTCTCCCCGGCCCAAGACCTTTCGGGCCGGGCTCCCCAAGGGAGCCTTCCCAGCTGCCCTCGGGGGTCTCCCGAGGCCCCCCAGCCCAGCTCTTGCCCCTCTCCAGCCTTGCGGACCCCTGAACGCGAGGGGCCTCCAAGAAGGGTCCCAAACTACCGGGCTCGCACTGAAACTCGGCCTGCCGCCCGGATCCTTCAGTCCTCAGGACGCCCTTGCCGGGAAGCCGGCTGGGTGCTGCGCACCTGGGTGCTCAGAACGGGAATCCGAGCGCATGCTCGGCCCGGGGAGGGCTGGAGACCCGGGAAGCTTCGTTGAAAAGAGGGAAAGTTATCGGTTAAATCGTCCTACAGACACCGAATTAATGGGTTTTAACGCGCACAGTCCAGAAGAAGAAAAAAGCTGGGGATGCACTGGGCCCATGCGAGACCCGCATCGGGTGAAATAAACCAGGGACAAAACAGCACCCCACTCCAGGGAAGAGAGAATCTGTCCTGAGAGGCGCGCACCCTAAAGGGCTTCCCCTTCATCGTTTTCTAAAATACTTTATTATGGGAGTTTTCAAGTAGAAAACAAGAGTAAAGGGCTGCAAAAAGAACGCCTTGTACCCACCACCCGCAGCAGCTCACTTCTGACCACCCTCGCGTTCCTATGCCTCTTCCTCCGTTTTTACGAATTGGTTTGTGTTTGTTGTCATATCTCACAGCAGATGTGGGTATCGCAGCGTCATTATGTATTAAATACATAAATACATCTTTAACTTTTTAAAACAATCATCTGGCTACAAATCTCGGCTCCCAGTAAATCTGAGTCTGTTCAACACACCACACTCAGAAGTGCTGGCTGTTGGCCAAAGGTGGTCAGTGGATTTGTTTTGACTTTTGGCTAAGTCCTATTACTTTGGGGGATGGACCCAAAAACAAAAATTGAGATCACCAGTTGTGGAGGCCCCAGGGGGCGGCCATTGCTCTTCCCCCAGCAGTGAGGGGTGAACCCCACATCCCCACACTAGTCTCTGCTGGAGCTTCAGAGTCCCCTCTCCACCCCACCTGTGAGGGCAGCTTCCCCTCCTTTTCCTTGGGGCAACTTGGGGACAGGTAGAACCAGGAGACCTGCCTCAGGTGAGGCTGGGGCCCCACCTCCCAGCAGGGAAGGATGTCAGTACCAGAAAAAAGAATGCAACCCTTTGGGAAGCAGCCTTACAGGTGTGTGCAGCCCAGCAGCTGGTCTCTCTGGGGTACCCCTGAACTCCTGCTCCCCAGGTTATCTTTTCAACAGGTTTCTGGCTGGGGTCAGAATGACCAGGGGGAGAGAGCCTGGCAGAATCGAAGAGAAGGCAAAGCCCCAGGGATTCCAGGTGCTCATCTGGCCGACACTAGCCTCTTGGCCTCCACCCAGCTGAGCTGTGTGCTGGGCAGGCACTGGGCCCAGGCCTTGGGAAGCCCTTTCCCAGTCCAGAGTACCTCCTCCCTGCATATGGCTTTGGGGTGCATAGGATCCTCCCCCCTGGAGAAGAGACACAGAACCTTCCTGGGCAGCAGGGGCCCTGTGTGCTTGGGGTGTGGAGCCCAGGCCGGCAATGCCCAGCATCCAGCAGTCACACAGGACGAGGCGGGGGTGAGCGGCTGATGTGGCTGGTATGGGGCAGCTAGGCCACAGCGACCTGGAAAGGGGCAGGCTGAGTCCCCTTCCTGGTGACCTCTATGAGGACCTAGGGCTAGGGGGCAGGTTCTTGGAGATGTCCGTGGGGTGCTGCCTGGGGAACCCTGTTGACCTCAGACCCAGCACTCCAAGCTATAGTTCCTAGTCCTGCTGATAGGCTACAAGGGGGAAACTGAGAGTTGGAGAAGAGAGGGGCCTTGACAGCAAGTGTCCCAGTGCCAGCAGAACTCAGTCCCCTGCTTGTATGTCCAAAGCACATTTGACCCAGCTAGGCTCAGTGGCTCCACAGCCAGAGGCCCTGGGGGCTCAAGGCGGCTGCCTGGGAGCCTCACTTAGACTGATGGAGGAACTAGGGAGGAGTGAGGGAGGGCGTGTAGTGGAGACAGATCGAAGCCATCCATCTCTGCCAGCCTGGAGGAGCCAACGCGCCCAAGGTGCGCCGCAATCAATGGTGCAGGAGCTGGGGCTCCAAGGGCCAGCGCCCTCTGGGCTGCTCTCAGGTCTGCGCTGCCCGGAGCCCTCCTGGGACACAGAGGCTATGACCAACTGCAGAGCAGGAGCAGAGCAAGGCTGTCTAGACGAAGTGGGCCCAGCCTTTGGGGATCTACTTGGTGGAGCAGCATGGCGCAGCCTTTCTCCCACTCAATCCTTCCTGCCTCTCTGAGTCCAGAGATCTGGAAATTGCTCTCCTGCCCAGTCTCACTAGTTCCATCAAAATACAGCCCCATCTTAAATCTGCCTGCAGTTGAGCTGCCTGAACCTGCTGGATGCCAGCAGACAGCCACTACCTCCATCTCTCCTGCCCTGTGCCATCTCACCCATACCCTGACAAGTATCTCCCAGCAGTCGTTAAACCCAGCTTCCAGCTGGGGAGATAGCTGGGTGGTCTAAGTGCCTTCCTGGCAAGAGCAAGGACCCAGGTTCAATCCCCAGTACAGCATGTCCTGCTGGTCACAGAACCCCAGAACCTTGGAACCCTGGGCACACCATGCTGGCCACCAAAACCAGGCCTGGTGGTGCACGCCTGTAATCCCAGTGCTCAGGAGTCTGAGACAGGAGAGTCACTAGGAGTTGGAGCTGTGTAGCAAAACCCTGTACCAAATAAATAAATGATAAAAAACAAAACAGCTTCCCTGAGAACTCTGGCTGGACCCATCCCATGGTCACCATGAGACCTTAAGACCCCACGGGAGCTGGCTAGAAGGTGGTTGCACTGTGGTGTCCATAACCCTTAAAGGCCGTGCAGAAAGACTCCAGGACCAGGAATCCCAAGTCTCCACAGAGGCCACTGGTGCCCAAGCCCATTTGGGGTTGGGTGAGGTCAGCCAGTGGCACCACCAAGGCCTAGAAGGGCAAGGGGGAGGGTGCACGGGGACACCCCACTACCCCGTGAATGCTGACTGCAGGGGGGCTAGAAAATAAATTCATTTCATTGGAACAGATCATAGGGCTCTGTCCCAGAAGAATTAGAAAAGCAGGGGGGCAGCCCGGAAAGGGGAGCCCCAGCTGACCCACGGGTAGGTGGCTTAGAGATGCCACTGCTGTGCCCTCCACAGGAGCCTCTCAAAGGCCACACTCTGGGGCCATAACCCTCCTCCCAACACACACACACACACTCTCTCTCTCTCTCTCTCTCTCTCTCTCTCTCTCTCTCTCTCTCTGCACTGGCTGCTGAAGGGCTGGCCAGAGATCCTGGGAGCTGACCACCGCCTAAGGTAGGGTGGGGCGCACACGGGTGGGCAGCCCCCAGGTCCAAAGGTGCCTTCTCTAGGTACCTGGTGTCCCCTGTATGGCAAGGTGGAGCAGGAGGGAACATGGAAGGGGACCTTTTAGACCCCGAAGGACCTACTCAGTCTCTGAAGCACCAGAAATAGTGTCCCCTGCCACCCAGGACAGGACCTCGACAATCTTCACCCAGAAGCAGATGGCGCAGCTGGGGCAGTGGAGGCAGGTGACAGCGATCTGGTCCTCCAGAACAGCTTTAGCTCAGAGCCGGAAGGGAGCAGCTAAGGCGGGAGCCGGCGCTCCCTAGGACACCGGCAAGTTAGCCAGGCCAGCACAAGCCGCGGCTTTTGGTCCAGCTCAGGCTGGGGCTGCCCACTGCCCTTTCACCTCTGCCTCCCTGCTCCTCCCAAAGACTGCCTTGGAGTCCTGAAGTCCTGTCTATTGTGGAGCGGGGCTTAGGGAGCACAGACCGCACCCCCACTCCTGTCTGCTCTGCCCAATGGCACAGCAGCCCGGCCTCCATCCTAGCACCCAGTAGGGATGTGCCCACTGCAGCCTGCACGCCACAGCCACCCCCACCCAGGGTCACAGGACAGCCAAACTGTCAAACGTCCCTTTTTATTCCATACGCAAATAAGCATATTCATCAAAAAAGAAAAAAAGTCTTCACCAGAGAACCGGGGGCCACAGCCCAGGACAGAAGCTCCAGCCTTGCTGGCCTGGCCCCAGATCCAGGTCCAGCACTGGGGACCCCTCTCCACCTCCACGGCAGAGAAAGCACTGGTCACAGCCCACCCAGGGACCTGCCACTGTCTAGGTCCCGCTGCAGTTCCAGGAAAGGGATTGTTTTGTGTTGGTGTCACTTTGAGTGTGGGGGCAGTCACCTGGAGCCCCTGGGGCAGCTTTGTGATGTTTTCCTTCGCGGTGGAGCCCCAAGTCGCTCGGTCGTGTGCCTGGTGCCAGCGTCTTTGCATGGTCCCTTTTTTCAACGAGCTCCAGCCTTGTAGCTGGTGGGGAGCTGCAGTCCAGTTGCCCGGAACATTTGGGGGCTCCCCAGGGCTGTGCGCGTCCTCCTCTAGGTACCTAGGAGACTCCGGGAGCCTCCCGCTCCCTGAACACACCACCAGCACAGTCGAGCGTCCACGGGGTCTGCGGGGGCCACCAGAAGGGGCACGCGCGGCTCACACCAGGCCTGGCATCTGCGCCCGCAGGAAGGGCACAGAGGCGGCGGCAGGGAAGGCGGCCAGCGGGTAGGCGAGCGCCCCAGAGAAACCGAGCAGCGGCGGGGGCGGTGCGGGCGCGGGGGTCGCCAGCGGGAAAGGCAGCGCCGCGGGCGGTGCAGGCGGCGCGGCTGGGGGACTCTCGTGATAGAGCACGGGCACACGGACTAGACGCTGCGCGCCGGGTGGGGACAGGCTGGCCGCCTCCAGCTCCGCTGCCAACTGCCGCTTCCACTTGTTGCGGCGGTTCTGGAACCAGATCTTCACCTGGGTCTCGGTGAGCTGCAGCGAGGCCGCGAGGCCGGCACGCTCGGCGCTGCTCAGGTAGCGCTTCAGGTCGAAGGTGGACTCCAGCTGGAAGACCTGGCTGCGGGAGAAGACGGTGCGCGTCTTCTTCTTGCGGCCTCCTCCGCGCGCCTCCCCCGCCACGGCCGCCGGGGCCTCGGCCAGCTCCACCGCCTCCTCCCCGCAGGCCGCGGGGCCCCGCGCCGCCGCCAGGTCCACCGCCTCTCGCGGCATTGCGCCCGGCCCGGGGCCTCGTGGCCAGGCTCCCTCTGCACGCCCCATCTCCTCGCCGGTCTCTGGTGAGTCCCGGTCGCTGGCTGCGGGGAGAGAGGGGCATAATGGTTGGTTCCCAGGGCTGCTTCCCAGAAGTGGTCCCTGAAGCTGTCCCATTTTGAGGTCGCCCACAGCCAGGGGCTAAGGGGGTGTAGCACAGCTTCGGCGTTCAGCCCCAGCCCAGGGTACAGAAAGGGGCAAGGGAGGCCAGAGTGGACCCCCCACACAAGAAACTGCTGCACACGACCTCTTCTTACACCCGCACGCATCCAAAAGCCCACCCGTGCCCAGAGGAAAGAGGAAGACAAAAACACAAGCACAAAAAGCAGCCCGACCCGGCCACTTCCCAGCTGCATGCCGGACCTTGGAAAGCTGCATAAAGCATGTGTACTATGTGTACCAGGGGACAGGAGCAAAGGGGTGCCTTTGAGAAAGCCCCGGACTTCCCCTCCCACCCACCAGCACCCAGCCTGGGCCAGCCCACAGTGCCCTCTCTGCATGCAAATGTCAACCACCAAAGAGCTCCAGTGGGATAGCAAGGACACAGGGCTGCAAACAGGCCTCCCCAGGCCAGCTAGGAGCACAAGAGAACCACACCCTGCAGCCACCTAGGCTGGCTGTGCAGCTTGCAGGCTTGGGGACAGAGACCCCAGGGGAAATGAGGGGACGATGAGTGCCTGCTCCAAAACCCCCCAAAGGGAGCGGGGGGCTCCCGTGGTTGGCAACAGGGTAATGCAGGTTGCAGGGGTCTGCCCGACCCCTGGCACATCTGCATGATGGAGAACCGACAGGAACCAGCCTCAGAGCAAAGCTCCATTTCCCAGCTGAGGTCCAAGGAGTTCAGCGGGCCCCAGAAGGCCAAAAGGTCAGGTGGATGGGCAAGGGAGCTGGGCTTGGGTCAGGAGTGCTGATGGTGGTGGCTTGCATGCAGTGGACTGGGCCTGCATTCTTAGAGGCTGCAGATTCCACTCCTGCCCCTATCCAGTCCCTTTGCAAAGCCATGTGCCCTTCTGGTGCCCAAATGAAGACCAGCGTTGGGCTGGTGTGCACACCACCAGATCTGGAGAGTCTTGCTCCTACCCCCAATCCCCCAACTCCTACAGGGTCCAAGAGGCCCAAGCACTGCAGCACTGTTTGACTGCTCCAGGTGGAAGCTGAGACCCTAACCCGCATTGTACGAAAAGAGGAAGTGCAATATCTTGGCGTGGCTGCTAGCTGGGCTGCAGGTGGGGATCCTCCCGCGATGCAGGGAGAGAAATGTCACCAGGGAGAGCAATTTCCAGTCACCCCCATAAGAGTACTAACCAAATGTCAAATTTCAAGGAAACTTTGGAGCCGCTGCTCTAGTTCACATAAGAGGGAAGGAAGGGTAAAGTCTGGATGCTGTGGGCTCTGAGCTGTGGGTCCCTTGGCCACCAGTGTTATTCCACCCCAGGAAAGGGGTTATCCAACAGGTGAAAGAGGTCATAGGTCAGAGGCCACCTGCTCCCTGGAACACACTCATACCTCCTCCTTGCTAACACCCAGACTCTAGAACTAAGGCGTGGTGACAGCACTCATCTGGCCTCCCAGTGTGTGCTTTTTGCAGAGCAAAATGGGCAGTGCGGGCAGTCTAGCTTCCCTGGTCTTACTGAAGGACAGGTCCACAGGAAACCACCAATCCCAGGGAGAGGGAGCACTCTGGGGCCGGGGTGCCCAGGCTAAAGAGACATGCAGGTTATAGGGCCCAGACGCCCCCATCCCGGTCTCTATCTCTCGCCCGCGGGGAACAAAGGCCTGGGAGGGGGAGGGGCAAGGAAACGGGAGAGGGGCTTGGATGAGGGCTTCTCAGGGGGACCCTTCTTGCCTGGCGCAGCCTGAGGACCTGGGAGAACCCAGAGGGAGGTCAGGGCCCTGTCCCAATTTCCATCACACAAACACAAAGGAACTGAAGTTGGGGAGCCTGCACCCCCAAGCTTCTGGAGGAAGCCCCTGTATGACCCTGGCTCAGTGCCCCCCTTGGGCTGCGTGGCTGTCTACTACACCTGCCCTTGCCCTAGCCTCGCTCCAGTTGCCTCTATCATCGCTGGATTTGGGGCTTTTGTTTGTTTTTGAATTTCACTTTCCTCCTTCCTCACCGCAATGCTCTTCCGCCCTCGTCCTTCCATTTTCTTTTCCCGTTTTGACTTCACTCTCCTCCCTCCTCCAGCTGCCTGCAGTCCCGGCCCCAGGGCCCGCGTACTGGCTCCCCTTAAGACCCGCAGAGCCCTGTAGGGGCGCATCCGCAGGTCGGACCCCTGTCCCGGAGGGTGGGTCCCCAAGCCCACCCAACCGGGGGCTCCACGAGGGCCCACAGGACCCCGGCCCGCTGCGCGCACCGGTGAGGGTGGCCTGGAGAGGGCGGAGGCCAGGAGCCCAGGAGTCTGGAGCGGCGCGGGGACACG